TTGCTAAACTTCCGGGAAAAGCATTTGATTTTATTTTTTTAGGATATCCCATTCGGTATTTTTATTTTGTGAGTTGTTAATTGCCTTGGTACCAGTATTTACAATTTTTGTAATGTTTTCATTAAAATATTTGTTTTTTATGCATTATCTTAGCATTATTCATGTTTGTTTTGCTTGTGGCTTAATATTTCATAACAGGAAATATCAAGCCACAAAGGAAACTTACATCGAATTTCCTACAAGGCAAATATGCCATTTCTATACGACATTGTAGATGCAAATACCTTTAAAATCGGCTCGTATAAACTTAATTTTTTTTTTAATTGACATCATTTTGGTCTCAACGTCCCCCTCCCACTTGTCAATTCTTATCAAACTTTTCAGTACCCCATCCACCCTATATTTACTGACATCATTTATGTCATTGGGTTAAGCAAACTGGGATGTTTAGATACGCTTGCGTGAGATAATACAAAATGAGTTTTGAACATTTAAAATGGTTCAGGTTTTTAGCAAGAAAATCTATTCATGTAGCAACCATTGATTTGTTACTTTTTTTTTCTTTAAATGTTGTATAAAACGATCAAGTTAAGTTCTCAATAAAGATGTTACTATTAGTAGGGAAAAACAGCTTCATATCTTTTGAAGAAAATTAAAAAAATTTGTTAAATTTAATTAAATGCTTAACTGATAGTCCCTTCAAAATTAATAATACTAAGCTTGGTTTTTGCTATGACATTAATAATTTTTTTAAAATTTTCAAAATCAACATGCATCCGACAAATAAAATTTATAATTCTTATCTTACCAAAAAAAATGATTGAACGCTACAATATACATACATATATATATATATATATATATATATATATATATATATATATATATATATATATATATATATATATATATATATATATATATATATATATATATATATATATATATATATATATATATATATATATATATATATATATATATATATATATATATATATATATATATGTATATATATAAATGTCACAAAAAGTTCATATTTTGAAAATTAAATAAACTGTTTTTGCATGCTATTAATGTTAAATATGCAAGGGTTTTATGCTTTTAAGATACCTTTGTTATAAATATATCTACATATGTTATGTAATGGTGCATACAGTTCACAGAAAGTTTTCAGCATAGTCCAGTTTTAAATCAAAGTGAGGCATGAGACTACCAATTGAATCCGAGAACGTACAAAATCTCTGGCATCAAGTTTATAATCTGTACTTAATGCCTCATTAACAAGTTTTATGCAGAGTTCAACAGATTGTGTGTGGTTGGGATACTTGAGAATGAGTGGTGAGTAAACAAAGTGAGAGATTTGTTTGGTTGATAACTTCTTGGTAGCTGTTGGTTTATGGTGGAGTTAGAGTCTGTTCTCAATCAATCATATTAGTCCAGCCATAAGCATTAAAATCAATATTTGGAACTTTGAATTGTCTTACAGTGTTATTGGTACTTGCTGTAAGCCTGCAGTGAAGAATCCTTAGCTCTTTCGCAGTTGTGTTTATAAAGATCCCTCAAAAAGCATAAAATATGCAGGGACCTGCTAAAAGCCCTCGGAGGCTTTTTGCAGGTTCCTCCACACTTTATGCTGCAGCTCCTTGAAGTATTGAATATTGTCATCTTTACGCCGTCTATCCTCTAGAGGTTGAACAGTAATGGGGGTTAGTCTTTGACAATACTTAAGGGACTAAGATGAGGCACAAACTTAGAGGTTCTTTTTTGCACTGCTTCAAGAGCATCAATGTCTCGGCGATAATAAGAGTTCATGCGGAAGAACAGAACTCAATATGTGGTTGTTGCCAAATTGGTTTAGCAAGGTGAAAATTTTATGCAAATCCGATAGGTTGTAAACAGTGTTTAAAAGGTTGTTAATTCTTTAGCCAAAGAACATAGCTTTGCACTTCTATTTTAACACTCATACTCCAGGTATAGGCTCATTCAACGACGTGGTCAATGTCATTTTGGAGAGTTTAATAGTCGGAGGTGGTTTTTATAACCACAATAAGATTTGTGTCGTCGGTAAACAGCTTACAAATGTGACGAGTGAGGTCTGGCATGTCATAAATAAAGATCGCAGTACAGAACCTTGCATTACTTTACTGAGGACCTCTAACCAATCAGAGAAATACTCACCTTGTACAACTCTTTGACTGCGGCTATTAAAAAAAGGCATTTATCAATCCAAAGTATGTCATTAGAAAGTACTTTTACAAGCTGTATAGCCAAATAAACATGCTTTGCACCACCTATATATAAAGGGCTTTGTTTAATTGAAACTCAGCTGGGAGCATAACTGCTAACGGTGAAATGATACGTAAATTTTTCTTTGGACTCTCTGTTGATATGTACAACCGGTAAAGCCTATTAACAAGTGTGACCCATTGATCATGTAAAGAGGACCTGGCTTTGCTCACTGACAAGTACTGAGATGGACTTCCACTCATAATTGCATGTACAATATCATTTGGATATTTTTGATTAATAAAAAGATCAGGATATCTTTATTGAGAACTGGCATAGGATTGTCACACAAAATTTCTGAATTAAATAATGAAATTTTTGAAAAGCGTTAAATGTTTTTGCTGATAAGACTAGTAAAGGAATTAAAAGCTGTTCTAACCAAATGTGAAAACAGACGCAAAAACGGCTGTTCATTTGTGTGGAGCATAAAAAAAACCCAGCAGCCAGTCCGTATTGGTATTTGTTCTGTCACATCCAATAGCACAAATTGTATCAGCTGCACGTTGGTCTGTATGACCTGAAAAATAACATTAGCAATATTAATTCCTTTACCAGATATTGATGTTGTGTGAGTAAAATAATCATTACCTGGTTCAACAACTAAAACATAATGCCCTTTAAGAACAATGTCACCATTCTTTAGGAACAATGTCACCATTCTTTAAGAACAATGCCACCATTCTACTAATGTTTCTGTTTAGTTCTTAATAAGGTTTTGTCCTGCCATCTTGTTAAGGTTTATCTATCCTGCCATCTTGTTAATGTTTATCTATCCTGCTATCTTGTTAAGGTTTATCTATCCTGCCATCTTGTTAAGGTTTATTTATCCTGCCACATTCAAAGTAAATACTTGTAATAGTTTCATTTTGCTGATATTTATATATTTGCAACTTTTTTCTAAACTTACTTCTTTTACAATTAATTCAGCTTTTATCAATAACTAAAGTTTGATCTTCTTTAGTAATAAGTCCAAAGTAAAACAAGAACAGCAGTAGCAAGTGAAGCAGCAGCTCAATCTAATACACAATATCTGTTTACTTCTTTGCTAGATTTTTAGAAGATTGTTAGAAGAACTTTTCTTGTCTTCAGTTTGAGAAAATATTATGCAACTTCCATGTTGGTTGGCTGCACAGTCTGCGAAAGTTCATTTGCATTGCTAAATAAATTGCCAAAGTCATTACATGTTGTTATGACTTTCTCCAAAGGACAAAATTTACTTGAGCGATAGTAAAATACTTACAAACTTAAAAATAAGATATTAACATACATTGCAAAATAATTTCAAAATGTTGCTTACGTACTTGTTTATGTACATAAGCAATCTTTTAAAAGATTTAGCTGGGTGAAATAATATATATATATATATATATATATATATATATATATATATATATATATATATATATATATATATATATATATATATATATATATATGTATATATATATATATATATATATATATATATATATATATATATATATATATATATATATATATATATATATATATATATATATATATATATATATAGCATATAAAAACTATGCAGTATATAAAAAGTACTACAGAAGTACTAGCCACCTTTAGGTTGTTCGTGAAAAATCTAGTAAAAAGAATAAAGTAATTTAATTTATTATTGCTCTGTTCTTTAACAATATTGGGCATTCTATTTGAAAAATTCACCTAATTTATATATATATATTTATATATATATCCAATCATAAGTTTGGGGGCTAGACAGTTTCCCAAGCAGGGGATAAAAGTCTGTACAATCAAGTTTACACTTTAGTTATCACAGAAACCTATTCAACTCGAAACGGCTCTGTATACATGTTATACGGCTGTACGAACGGCCCTGTATGCATATATTTTTGAAAGTCAAATGCAAAGACAAAATAAACAAAAAAAGCAAATACATTACCGAAAAGTTTTATTAAGTTAAAACCATTCCTTCTATCCACTGAAGCCTATCCGCTTTCTTCGGCGCCCAAAATTTCTCTCGACAGACCTGTTGCATACCTCATAATATAATGTTATAAGGTATGCAACAGGTCTGCCGAGGAAAGTTATAAACCGTTAACATTACTAACCGTTAACTTATGAGGAAATTAGTTCTAGTTACCAGACATAGTCATCAAAAGGCATGAATGAAATTACTTTTTGTAAATCACAATTTGCTTAACGTTATATAAAATTACCGTAAGTTACTCTCAAGAAACCACAGAAACCGGTAACAAGCAAATTTTTTTTTTATTACTGAAATAGTCCCCTAATACTTCAAGAGAGTAAACATAAACTCATCGCTAGCTTAAGGGGAATGGAGATCAATATCTTAAACTGGCAATAAAAAAACAAGGCAATACGTAATAATTAGACCTATTAAATTATTGTTATAAAATTAACCACTAAAGTTAAATATTTAATTAAATAAAATGATATTATTAAATAAATGTAATAAATGTTGACTAAATTGACCTTTAGTCGATTAGTAGAAAATCCAAAGTCCATTAAATCGACTATTAGTTTTTTTAAAGTCGACTATTTTTGACTTTCGATCAGTCAACTTTTAGTCGATTTTGTCGAAGTCAATTACAACACTAAGAAAAACGCTTTTTTTTTAAGAAAAAGATTAAAAACAATGAAAATAACATTAAAGTGAAATCATTCTTTCATAGAAGTTCCAAAAAAAACCATTAGAAGGGCCAAACTTTTACAGATTCGAAATAAATATAGCCTTATCTCATAAGTGTTAACCCATCAATCATCGCTATTGTCACTAAAACTAGTGCTACTATTAGGATCCTTGAGAGAATCGTTCATGAAATTCAATTCAACCTCTTCTTCGCTTTTCTTCCTGGCATGTGGAAAATCCTCCTCATCGTCATTATTTGGATTTTTTCTATACCTAAAGGAAATATATATGTTTGAGTTCAAGTAGAACCAAAAAAATAAAACAAATTATTCAAATATAATATCAATTAATCTCTTATACCTTTTGTTTTTCTTCTTTCTCTTCTTTGTATGTTGAGATATTTCACCTTCTTTGACTTCAAAAGGGTCATCAAGAGCTATATTTGCATCAAGATCTTCATAGGTCTTTACCTCAGGATCTTGGAGCTCTGAGATCCATTGTTCGCCTGAGTCTACATCATTGAAACAAAGGGGATCTTCAATTGTTTTCTTCTTTAACTTCTATTTTTTAGTTTCAAATTGAACATAATGTAAACCAAATCATCGAGTTTCGCCTGCTTCAAGCGATTTCTTTTCTTTGTATGCACCTGTTCATTAAAATACTAAAGCTCAGTAAGATGAAAATTGAAAAACATATAAAACCAAAATACTTTATATTATTACTTGATCCAGAAGCACTACAAGTCAAACTCAAGATTCTAATGGCAAATTTTGCAAGTTCAGGCTTTTGATCTCCAAAAGCTCTCCACCAATCCGCTGAAAATAGTAATGTTATTTTATTAAATTGATAGAAAAAAAAACATTGAGGTGTGATCCCATATCGGGTCCGTCCTCTGGTTTATCAAAAAATAAAATAAAAGATATTATTACAAACATACTAAAAACAGTAAAAATACACACCTGGACTTCTCTTCTTCCTCGTGCTTACTGCATTTACCCGTCCAAATAAACCTTGAGCATTTCGAAAAGAATCAATCTACTTTCAAATCTACTTTCTAATGCAAATCTACTTTCTCCCTTTCTTCTGAATCGCCAATCAATAGCTCCATGCAAGAATCAAGTCCCAGTTTAATTTCATGACGAGAAGAAAATGAGGGTTCATATGGATTTAGAAAATATGCAGCAGCATACAAATGCAGGTAAAGCTGACAATCCCACCGACTATCCACAATATCCCAAACAATCTGATACTTTGCAACATCATTATTTAGATTTTGAGCAATTTTTTCTTTAGCCCTATTCATAGCTTCGTAAATAAGTTCCATTGGTGGATACTTCTCGGAATCCACCATTCGAAGAACTCTAACTAAGGACTTTGTTGTGTTGAGCACATAAGCAACACCTGGCCAAAACGACTTGCTTTTTAGAATTATGTTGCACACATTTTTCCACAATGATCAAGATGCATTAGCACTGGTTTTCTACTTTCTTGAAGTAAAAAAGGATTCAAGTCCATCCCTTGCTCCAAACAAGCTTTGCAAAGTGAGAAATGCAGTGACAAATCGAGTAACAGCAGGTTTCACCAAATCTCCCCCGGTAAATTTTCTTACCATTGCTAACACTCATGCATGACCGTATATAAAAATTATTATTTTCTTGGCCTTGGTGAACACAGAAGTATGGACGGGTAACTTAACTACAATTTTTTCCTTTTTTCTATCAACATTCGCCCTGCTACTTTATAAGCCGAGGCATTGTCTGTTATCACTTGGATAATATTCTTTTCTCCAACTTCCTCAATGACTTCATCAAGTAATTTGAAAAACAACTTTGCATCTTTTACTTGATCCGATGCATCAATGGACTTTAAAAAGTAAGTACCTTTCGGGTTATTAACTAAAAAATTTATTAATGTACGCCCATTTGTGTGAGTCCAACCGTCAGACATAATACTACAACCGGTCTCAATCCATGAAGGTTTCGCTTCATCGACAAAGAAAAAAGTAGCGTTTTTCTCTTCTTTTAAAATCCATGTTCGCAACTCATACATAGTTGGGGGTTTAAATCACCTTCCAAATCCACATACATCCTCATCATGGCCCAATATGAATGGCTTGTTGCTACATTGAACGGTATTGAATTCTCATAGGAGAAACCTGCAAATCCGTATTCTTTTGTTTTCCTTCCAATTCTCATTCAAGGTAACTTGGTGCGTTTGATAAACCGTGAAACATTCATCACTCTCGCTACCAATATTTGCTTGTTGTATAAAAAAATCAATAGGTTAGTAAACTTGTTTGCTGAACTTGACAGCGCTTGAGACTGTTGGCTTTTTTAATTGAGGATTGCCTTTGGTAGCAAATGACTCTTGCATTCCTCACTCGACAAACCTCATCCATTTCTTCGAATGCTGTTCTTTTACCCTCAATCTTTTTTAACATAAACAACTTCATTTCTTCTTGAACCTCAACGGAAACTCGTGAACAACCTGCAACATTCTTATGAGTCTTTGCAAGGTGCTCCTTTAACATTTTAATTCCGCCAGTGATGCTCTTCTTACAAAAATTACACTCAACATATTTATAAGTTTTGTCGTCCTGCGACCTGATTGGAGGAAGCTCTACACAATACTTCCAGTCAGGATCAGTCCTCCCATTTATTTTTGATGACTTTTCCATATCTTTAAAGCAGTAAATTTATAAAATAGTAAAGAAAAAAAAATAAAGATCAATAATAGCGAGCCGCACAATTGATCATACAATTTCATGTAATGAATTTAAATATTACTTAATACAATTATGGGAGCATATGAGTATAAAATATAATTTAATTATATTATTTCAGAATATATAAGTTAAATATTTATTTATAAATTTTATAAATATATATTTAACTTTTAACTTTTAAAACGCACGTTAACAGCTTCTAATTTTTTTTTTTTTTTATCGCTTATTAGTTTTTGAGTTTTTTTAAATTTAACGAAAAGTATATATATATATATCTGAAAAAGTTTTTAAACCATGTCTGTTACGATTAAGGAAGTCAAAAAGTTGATCAAGGAAATGTTCAAGAAGTTCAAAACTGAGACCGAAGAAATGCTGAAACACCAGGAAATCACTTTTGTTAACATCGTTAGTTCAAACACCAAAATAATAAACGATCGTTTATTATTTTGGTGTTTGAAAACTCAAACAAAATAGCATTTATTATTAAGGAAGTTGATGAAATTAAAATCAGCTTAATCTTTCATGAAGACTTATTTAACAAAAAAATTAAAACCGCGATTAATACAATTACAAAAGTTAACTTATCGAATATCAAATCAAATAACAACAGCGACGAGCTTTCAAAAATAAACAACAAACTTAGAGAGATTGAAGATCGATCGAGGCGGAACATCCTTAGGATTGATGGTGTTCCCAAAAACGACAACGAAAGCTGGAATGACTGTGAACTAAAAGTTAAAAAAATATTTAACGATTACCTAGGGGTTCATAATGTTAAAATTGAAAGAGCGCATAGGACAGGGAAAATTGAAAACAAAAAACACAGAACAATCGTCCTGAAACTTTTAGATTTTAAAGACAAAACCGAAATACTCAAGAATTCTTTTAAACTAAAAGGTAAAAACATCTACATATCCGAAGACTACTGTATGGAAACAAACCTAATACGAAAGGAACTACGCGACAGTATGAAAGTCGAACGACAGGCTGGTAAACTTGCTTACATTTCGTACGATAAACTTATCGTCAGAGATTGGAATACCAGAAAACGTATTGCAACATCAAACTCGCATCCAATGTGCTCACAAGAAGTCAAAATTTCTCAAATTGAAGATGTTAACTGCGAAAGCAAAACTGCGCAAAGAAGGTAAGTATGTCATTTTTAGTTATGATGTAATTTTTTGCAGAGATCTCAGAAACTCTACACCACCTAGTTTTAAAAAGAAATTTTTTTCTAATAAATTATTCCCAATAACAAATATGGCTGAAATTAACGACTTCGAATCCCTTAGCTTTAAATTTACTGAAATAAATAATTTTATCACTAATGATAACATCGACCCTGATGTAAATTTATTTACCAATTCGTTTACAGGTTGCTCCTATCATTTCCCAAATGAATTAGAAGAATTTCTTTTTAAATACTTTAATGACAGAAATGCGCATGCGCAAAAAGTTAAAATTGTTCATATAAATATTAGAAGCCTCAGTTGCAATTTTGAAAAATTGTTATATTTACTAGATGAAACAAAAAACTTTTTTAATATAATTTGCTTAACTGAAACATGTTTAAACTCAAATGACCTTAATAATACTAAACGTTTTTATATTCCTCATTTTAAATTGATTTCGCTCAATAGACAAGTTAATAAACGCGGTGGTGGAGTTTCTATATACATAAATGAAAATATCACGCATCTAGTTAGGAATGATTTATGCGTTTCTGACGGCGATAAAGAAGTTTCATCTATTGAAATTATAAACAAAACATCTAAAAATATATTATTAAGCACCTGCTAAAATATATTATCTACCACCTGACGGCGTGAGCGTGAACTTGAGCATTTTTTTTGAACAAAATATCTTTAAAAAAAGCTTAGAAGAAAACAAAAAATGTTTTATTTTTGGAGTTCTTAATATGGATTGCTTTACTTATAATAAGAACAATAAAGTTAAAAACTTTTACGACTCAATTTTTGAAGCTGGAGCAGTTCCTTTGATTAATCGCCCTACTAGGGTAACTAAAAGCTCAACGTCTCTTATTGACAATATCATTACAACTAATATCTTTAACAATGACATTCATAAAGGCATTTTAAAATCTGACATTTCTGATCATTTCCCAGTCTTTCTGACTCTTAACTCAAACGCTTCGATTAATAATAATTCTAAAACAATATTTATTTGAGATTTTAATCTAACCAATATGAATCTCTTTAAAAATCAGTTATCTCTTTTGCACTGGGATCATATTAATTTCAAGGGGAATGTTGACACCATTTATGAAACCTTATTTAAAACATTTTACGTTGTATATGATGCAAACTTTCCAATTATTGAAAAAACAATAAGAATAAAAAATTTTAATAACCCTTGGGTTACCAAGGGTTTCAAAAAGTCATCTAAAACAAAACAGAAGTTGTATATAAAATATCTTAAAACGAAATCGTCTAAAAATGAAAAAATATCCAAAGGTTATAAATATTTGTTCGAAATATTCGTAAACGCCTAAAAAAAAATTATTACTCTAGAATATTAGACAAATTTAAAAATAGCTCTAAGCGCACTTGGCAAGTAATAAAAGAAATTACTGGCAATCAAATAACATGCTCAAGTTCCCTCCCCCCAAGTGATTATAGTTGATAACAAAATTATTTATGAATCAAAAGCTTTATTCTAACGAATACTTTATCCTAAATTAGCTAATAATGTTCCCTTTACCCCAGTCGCATTTAATGATTTCTTCGTACCAAAGGATGATTGCAACTGTTCCAAAGAAATATACTCAGAATTATCTTTTGATGAATTCCAAATCGCCTTCAAATCACTAAAAAAAAAAAAGCTATCGGAGCTGATGGAATAAATGGTGACATAATTATCGAGTGTTTTGATCATCTCAAAAATATTCTTTATAAAGTTTATAAATCATCTGTCCACCAAGGAGTTTTTCCTGATCGTCTAAAAATTGCAAAAGTTTTTCCAATTTTGAAAGAAGGAGACTGTTGCAATATCAGTAACTATCGCCCTATATCTATCCTTTCTACCTTTTCAAAAATCTTAGAGCGTATTATGTACAATAGAGTGTACAATTATCTTGTCTCTAATAATCTTTTTTATTATAATCAATTTGGTTTCAAAAACAATAATTCTACCGAACATGCAATCATCCAATTTGTACGAGAAATCTCAAATTTCTTTCAAAGATCCCAATATACATTGGGTGTTTTTATTGACTAGGCTTTTGATACTGTCGACCATGAAATCCTTCTTGAAAAACTAAAATACTACGGATTAAAATATATAACTATAAAATAGCTTCGTAGTTACTTATCAAACCGCAAACAATTTGTTTTTATTAACAACTATAACCAAAGCCATCTACTAAATATTTCCTGTGGTGTTCCCCAAGGCTCTATCTTGGAGCCACTTTTGTTCTTAATCTATATAAATGACTTAAATAAAGCCTCAAACTTAATGAGTATCATGTTTGTTGACGACACCAACTTATTCCTGACCAATAATGACATATCCAAACTCTTTTCTACAATGAATGATGAACTCAAAAACATATCTACTTGGTTCAAATGTAACAAGTTAACTCTTAACATTAATAAAACCAAATGGGTTCTTTTCCATTCACTCTCTAAAAAACGCTATTTAACCCAACATTTGCCCAAAATATTTATTGATAAAGTTGAAATAAAAAGAGATTTTGTTACTAAATTTTTAGGAGTGATTCTCGACGAGAACATTACATGGAAACCGCATATAGAATATATCTGCTCAAAAATATCTAAAAGTAACGGAGTCTTATATAAATCTAGATCATATTTAAACAAAAAAGCCTTAACCCAACTCTATTATTCATTTATTCACACCTATATTAATTATGCCAACATTGCGTGGGGAAGCACCGAAAAAAGTAAGCTAAAATGCCTTTTTCGCCGTCAGAAGCATGCGATCCGATTGATTAATTTTGCAGATCGTTTTACTCATTCCAAACCATTATTTATGGAGATGAAAATACTTAATATTTACGAGCTTAATGTTTATAACATTTTATGCTTTATTTACATGTGGAAAAACGATTTAACTTTACCTATCTTTAAAAACCTTTTTTCTCTAAACCCAATTCATAAATATTTACTTAGAAATAAAAATTTTGTACATGAACCTATTTGCAGAACAAAATTTAACAAATTTTGCATAACATTTCGAGCACCCTATCTTTGGAATAAAATTGTTATACCTAATTTTGATATATCCAATACATTTCCGATCTTTAAAAGTAAACTATAAAATTTGTTTTATCTATTGATGATATATTTAAATACTTTTTATAACAATCACGTATGTCTTTTTAATTGTAAGACTGTTGTATTTTCTCTTGCCTTTTAAAAAAAGAGATGTATTACTGTATTTACTATGTATATATATATGTATTTATATATTTACGTTTTTATAAGATCTTACGATATGATCAGACTTTTTATTATATATAACATTAGTGGTTTAAATTATATTTCCAATTTATATCACGATTTATTGTAATTTTTTAGTTTTGTTAATGTATTGATTTTAAAAAAATTGTAAAAGGTTCTGATGATAAGATCATTATGATCTTCTTACAGAAGCCATAAAAAAAGGGTCTGAAAAAAAGAAGTCTGTTTATCTTTGTAAACAACGTCAAAAATGAAACAAAAAAAAATAAAAAATAAAAAAATTAAAAAATTATTATTCTAATACATTCGTTTTCTTAATAAAAGTAAAATACACCGACTAAACCAAATTTTGTTCATAATAATATATGTATATAACAAAATATTATCAAAGACTAAAAACGAACTCTATAAAATAAAATATTTTTCAAAGCCTTATTTTAGCTTTCAATTAACTGATTTTTATAATGCGTTCCATATGAACGCACAAATTCTAATCGAATGTAA